GAGCTCAGTGCAAGAGGTGCTGCATGGAGGGTGAGAGACTCAGGTCTACAGCTGCTGGCACAGGGCAGCAGCACGGTGCAGACGATGCTGCACAAAAGGTCTGGGAGTAGACCGAGCCCCAGTGCTGCACAAGGCTTCCTGGGCCTCCAACCCCTAGCACAAGGCGAAGTGCACACTACACAGGGTGGTGCATGTGGCCCTAAGACGGGCCGGCAGCAGCAGAGTCGGGTGGCAGGAGAGCCCGGCAGGGAGCAGAGGTCGACCAGGAGAATGGGAGGCAACCCTCTGGGACTGTAGAGTATTAAGTTCCCCTGGAGAGAGGGTCCCCACAGGGGAGGGACACCCAGGGTTGTGAAGGGGCACCATGTGGGCCTCTCCTGGGTGATAAGGCAGGGCTTAGGAGTCTTTGGGGTCTTCCTCTCCTTTTCTTTCCCCCCACATCCTTTCCTGTAGTGGTGCCTCCCCTCCCTGTCAAGGGGAGGACAGGGACAAAGCGCCATTACCCACCAACCCACATTGCTGCTGCCTTGCAGCAGCAGGGGGGCAGAAGCTTGCCCCACCATCCCAGCCACCAGCACTCTGCGCTGCTAACACATCCAAGGGTGGTCTGCCTCCCCTCAGCCCTGCTCCTTGGAGGTAGTGGCAGTTCAGGGCGCTGGTGATGCAGTGCTGGCCTTGCCCACCCGCTCCATCCCCTCTGTCATGGCAGCATTCGACCATGCTAGTCCAGCCTCACCATACCTTTGGACAAATGGGGCTGGGGGGGTGGGAATTGAGGCCACCCCTTGGATGCAGCAGTGAGGCCAGACTGGGGGGGGAGGGCTGATGCCAGCGCTGTGCCACCAGCACCCTGCACCACCGCTGCCTTCAAGGAAGAGGGCTGGTGGGGGTGTGTTCTGCCATTCCAATCTGTCCTTGCTGCCCCCCTCTGCCTCCAAGGAACAAGGACGGGGGGGGACAAGGGAGGGGCATGAGGCCAGCCCTGTCCCCCCCGACTCTAGCCCCTCAGTCCCCATTGTCATGGCGGCACTCCACCATGTCTGTCGGTCTGTGCAGACCATTCCGACTGGTTGTTTCAGTCAGCATTATATTGGCTGCTGAGACAACAAATTAGAGTGCTCACAAAGAGTTATGAACAGACAGACAGAGACAAAGGCTTTTATTATATTAGAATTTAATTATTTCTACCACAACCTCATTTACAATTGACCTGGCATGTTTCTCTGAACTATGCTCCAATATTGTAAACACCTTATGAAATGACTCACCTTACCCAAAGAAATTTTTAAAAGATGCATTCTAGGTACAGTTAATAAGTGCATGTTACGTCGAGTACTAAATAACTCCACCTACCTTGCAAGAGTACTTGGAATTCTTTGCATGAAAATTGCATGTTTAGGGCATTTCCTTACCTTCTGATTTAATCATTTAATACTATATGACAAATTAAGGAACCTGAAGCATAAAAATTGTTACATGGATTTTTCAAAATGTGTTTTGTACTTGCCTAACAAAACTTTTGCATCTTCCACATCAAAATCTCCATCTCCATCTGCATCATATATCCCAAGCTTGCCTAAAAACACACAAGAGTAGTAGAAAGAAAAGAATTTTAAAAAATGCTTTCATTTTTATGTATTCAATATGCAATATATGTAGTTTTATATTACTCCATCTTCATTATTTAACATAATTTTAGGTCATTTGGAATACCTTAAAAGACATTCCTAGTTCAGTTACAAGTTGTCTGAATATCAAGTGTACTTAAATGTAGGCAGACTTCTTTCAGTGAATAATTTATTTATTCTTTCCAAAACACAGAAAGCAAGTACAGGCAGTCCTCGACTTACAACATTTCAAGTTACAACATTTCGCACTTAGGACGTTTATAAATTAACACCGTTTCAACTTTCTGATGTCAGTTTTGACTTTACAATGCTTGACCTGATACGATGCCACGCCAGTGAACATGTTCACTGCATCGCCCATCTCCCTGGAAAATATCTGTTCAAGCTTCCTTGGATGCTTTCTTTAAGAAAGCAGCCAAGACTCCAGAAAAACCTGCAGCTAAGACTCCTGAGAAGACTCCAGCCACGAGCCCTTCAAAAAGACCAACCAAGAGCCCTTCAAAAAGTCCAGCAAAGTCACCTCAAAGAAGTCCTTCTAAATCCATGTGATTTCTAATTACAATATAAATACATTAATGCAGCTATATTACTCATCTATAATTGACTGAGTACAAAATTATGGGTTATTTTTTGTGAAAATAGGGTATTGGGCCTTGGTTCAAGAACCAAACCCCATTTATAACATTGTTTCTTATGGGAAAAATCAGTTCCAAGTTACATTTTGACTTAAGATGCAGTTTTCAGGAACCAATTATGTTTTAAGTTTGAGGACTGCCTGTACACACTTCAATATGCAACTATTTTTTAATCTGAGTTCAATGTATTCAGACAAACTAGCTGTACAATAAGCAAACAAATGATCACCAAACGCTTTCAGTATCTACCATTGTAAATACTTTTCTGTCACAAAAAATGATACCTATATGCTCTGGATACGTGGAACAGAAAAAACGTGTTTCCCAGAAATAGCATAAAAACATATACTAAACCTCATGTAAGCATTGGTGAATCTAAACATCTATTACTAACCATGGCAAGAATTGCCAAAAGCAAAGCTATTTTTACACAGTAAAATCTGGACAGGCACCCAAAACATTTGATATCTTGTTTATCATTTACTTCTGCTACAGTTGCTCTACTAGCCCTAAAAGGAATCCACAAGAATACATATTGTCTCTTACAACAGCTAATGTAACAAAGAACTATAGCATCTATAATTAGCTGTACCCTGGAACTGCAAAATGAACTAGCAGGCTTTTAAATTAGTTTTTGATATAACTCAAGATCCAGGCAAAAGCAAGCCTGCCTCTGAACGTTATAAAATCAAGTACAAGAACTGCATAACCTTGAGGTTCCTACAATTGTAACTATATGATCACTTATTGTGGAGGCAGGAACTTCAGTGGTACAATAGCCATATAACAACTACTGCCATTTTTTTTTGGTGGAGGGATGGATTTTAACCACTTAATTGTTCCTTTCAGAATATGACTGTTATGGAAAGCTTTTGTGTGTGTTGAAATTATTACAGTTTAGAAAAAGGGAAAGTTTGGTAGAAGCAGAATTCCAGGGACAGGTCCAAAATGTGTAATAAGCCATTACCATTGTACTAAAGCAATACAATCTATGGAATTGTTGTTAACTTTGACGCTAAGGTTAAACAGAGCACATAATTTTACTATTCAGCCAGCAAGAAGAATTGCATCATCTCAAAAAACACAAAGATAAGTTAGGAATAAGCAATGGCTGAGTCTTTCATGCCACCTGCAGAAGAATGGTAACTATTTTACCATCACTTAAAATAAAAAAGGTAAAGAAGAATTAAATTAGCATATTATTTTAATCCCGAAGAGAATACAACAATTTTGTTTTCCCAGTATCCTACCTTGAAGTACCTCTGATAAGTTATAACGGAAGTCCTTTGCTTTGGCTGCGTGCATAGTAAAAATATAAAAACCATTATTTGCATCAACAGACCCTGATCAGATTTTAATTCAGATGCCTTTTACATATCAAAGATTGCTAATAAAAATGCTTTGTTACAATCTATTTTTAATGTCAAGCAAACTACAGCACAGTGGACACAAAGCATTGAGATTTACACTTGAGATCTCCATTCTTCTGGATTTCTCAACTCTTAATAAATATGTAAAGTTTGAATGTCAGAATTTTCCTCTACAAGAATTTTAAGACTAATATACATCAAAATATTAAAATGCATCCTTCCATGCAGAGATTCCATTCAGCATCTACAACAGCTAAAAATAAGCTACTACATTTGCAAGGGAGCAGTAACTCATTTTCCAGAGCAGTGACATTTTACACATAAAAATACGACAAAAGAATTAATTCTACTTTCTGAAATTGAAAAGGCTTATGTTCTATGAATGACGACAGAAATGACATATTTTTAATGTACTAAATTATTATTAAATTTCTTACCTAGAACTTCTTCATAGTCTATAAGTTCAAACCAAACAACTGCTACTGATGTCCATACTCCAAGCAAAGCAATTACCATAAACCAGGTGAAAAATGAGCTTCCGGACAGGCCTTCTTTCTTTCCATTCTTACTGCCCCCATGTTTTGTTTCTGTTTTAAAAAAAATAGAAAGAAAAAGAAAAGAAAGAAGAGTTCATATACATGGAAGCTATATTACTATTAGAAGATAAATATTTATATATTAGCAAACTGCCCATCATAAATGATGGCAGGGGGAGGGGGAGAACAGAGCGCTGCCTCCCAGCGTCCCGGGGTGCTGCTGCTCCACCTCCAACACCATGCATCCCCCCACCCTTCACCTGCCCCACCTATGTTGGGCCTTGTGTGCCACCCCATGGTCCCCTCCATGTCCGGCCCCGTGGGCCCCCCACAACCTTTGCTGCTCCACCCGACGCCACTGCCAGCTCCCAGGAACAGGGAGGAGGGGAGTTTGCACCTGGCCACTGACACTCAGTGCCCTGCTCTGCTGTCGGTCCATGTCCGGCCATACACAACATTCCCCCCCTCTCCCTCTCCACCACCTCCCCCTCTGCCAGGTGCTAGCCTTGACCCCCGCTCCATCCCGCCATGGCAGTGCTCCGCCATGCCAGTCCGTCCCTGCCATCCTGTGTGCCCCTCTGCCAGGGCGGAGCACCGCCATGACAGCAGGTACAAAGCTGGCCAGAGCCACCGCCGACTCCAAGAAGCAGGGCCGAGGGTGAGAGGGCAAGGCCACCCCTTGGATGCGGCGGCAAGGCCAGAAAGGGCGGGGAGAGGCCAGCAGTGTGGGGGGCCAGGCCAGCACCACATGCCATCACCAACCCCCAAGGAGCAGGGCTGGGGGGTGAGGGGAGGCCAGCACCGCTGGCCTTGCCTCTCCCTGCTCTGTCCCCTCTGTCATGGTGGCACTCCATTGTGCCAGTCTGTCCCTGCCATCCCCCCTCTACCTACAAAGAGCAGGGCCAGGAGGTGAGAGTGGGAGGGGGCAAGGCCAGCACTGATGAACTCTTCCCCCTGATCCAGCCCCTCAGTCCCCACTGTCATGGCAGCACTCCGCCATGTGTGCATGCATGCATGTGTGTGCACGTGTGTGAGCATGTGCAGAGCACTCCGATTGGTTGTTTCAGTTAGCACTGTGACTGGCTGCCAAGACAAACAATCAGAGCACTCATAAAGTGTTATGGACAGACAGACAAAGGATTTTTATTATATTAGAACAATTAAGTGTGCATACTTACAGACTGTAAATAAAGTATGCTATAAAAGTATCTTACAAAACAATGTTTTAGTGACACAATGTGCTCAAATAACTTTGTAAATTACTTCCGGTACTGTCAATGATGCTCAGGGGCAATCAGCATGGATTTATTAGGGGGAGATCATGTCAGACCAACCTGAGTGCCTTCTACGATCAGGTCACAAAGGCCATGGATGCAGGTGTCGCGGTGGATGTAGTCTTTCTGGACTTCAGCAAGGCCTTTGACACCGTCTCTCACCCCATCCTAGTTAAAAAACTAGG